GATGTCAAACGTGACCTAGTCACTGAGATTTTAAACAAACCCAAGTCTTAAATAATGAACAATGAATCTTTTGTAAACGAATGAATATGTATAAAATTACTCGTGGTGTTTAAAAATCTTACACGTTTTTTTTCTGTGTTAACAAATGCTTTTTTCTTTTTTAAATTATTACAAGGAGTATCATTGTAGTAATTGTTTGAATTCACACAAATAAAAATGATTTGAAATTGTTGAGGCGAGAGAGATTTTTTTTTTTAATTCATGTCAACGCCTAAACAGTTCAACCATTCAACCAAGTCATTCCATTAAGAGATAAGCATTCACACTCTGATCCGATATCAGTTCTCATTTACACCTCTGGGCAAGTGAGTCTTCAGAATCCAGGTTTCTGGACACGATAGGAAGCCAGAGAGCCTGGGAGTTGAAAACATGAGCAGGGGATTATTTTAAATCACCTATTCTGGATTTTTGTCAACTACTCTGCTCGTCGAATACGCGAACGGGGAGGTCAGATATTCCCTTTCTCGTACCATGACTTTTTTTTTTAGTAACACGGAATGAAAACGATCCAAATCGAATTGCTCAGTCATGATCGGTTCGAGCAGAACGAGGAGGGGTTGCCACGAAAGCGGGGCGGCAGACGGCAATTTTACTCTGGTCGCTCGTCTCGAAATAGCATTGAGGGTTTCAGTATCAGGGGCCACCGTCCACTCTTCCGTCAGCTGCTCATGACTGACAAGAAGCAACTGGCTCACACGCACATACACACACAAAAAAAAAATAGCTTCGACGTTCTTCAGAAAAGAGGTGGCTGCGCGGCTGTAGAGCTTAACGTTACCGTCGTTCCAAGTTCACAATTAGGCTTTGACGAACCTTTAGCGCAAATTGAGGATAACGGATGCCGCTTCCGTTAGCATCAAATATCACCGTAACACACGAAGCACGCCCAAACTCCTCTGTGACTTCATTCTTTGACGTCAGCGGCTCAAGTTGGCTAACTCAAAACACGGTTCAGCAGCACCCTTGCAAAAAATGTCACCGAGGAGAAATGAAGGCGAGGTTGTGGACCATCATTATGTTTCTTGGGCGCTGTAACAAAAAATAAGATGCCGAAGAAGTGACGAAGATTCGGCGGCAGTGCTAGCTTAACTAGCTAGTTGTAGCTAGCGAAGCTAATGCCGGTCACTAGCAAACATTGAAGGTTACAACTTGTCGCCCGAAAAAAAATCCGTCCTCGATGTGCCAGCTAACACACTGCAACGCGGGACACTATGATATAGCGGTCGCGTAATAATAAGCCGACATTTACCTTGTAAAAAGCCCCGTTGGAGCCGCGAACCTCCACCTCCAGTTCTTCCATATTGGACACGCAAAGGATGCTGGGATGACAGGTGCTCCTTAAAGCACCAACACCATCATATTAAAAAAAAAAAAAAAACAACAACAACAACAAATAACTGGGACAAGAAATAACTATTATTTTACCACGATGAAATTCCGATTCAAGAAAAGAAATCGCAGATTTCTAAACTGTTCGTATCACGCAAAAGCTAAGCTTTGTGAAAGGACACAATTGCAACTTGTGACAAAAGTAGGACAAGTGAGTGAAGACCTCTGTGTCTTTAGTACACTCGAAAATTATTGAACGGGAGTTGAATAATATTTAATGTCGACTGTTGCCGTAATCCGTTTTTAAGGGCAGGAGTCTCAAGTTGTGGCCCGTGGGCAGTTTGTGGCCTGCAGGATGATAGTTTGCAAGTGCCTCTATTCAGCCAGTTTTAGATGTCTCGCTCCTTCAACACATCTGATTCAATTGACCAGCTTATCAGGAAACTCTGCAGGAGCCTGATAATGATTCTGACCATTTGAATCAGGTATGTTGGAGGAGGGAAATTTTAGGCTGGTCCAGACACAACATATTTGCCACGAATCATTCTTCGAGCTGACAGCTGAAACGATTCTTTTAAAGAAGGCGATGGAAAGGGAATGGTTAACATAAAGAGTGACATATAGACAGATAGATGGACAGAAAGACAAAGGGATAGATTGAGACTGCGGATCTGATGATCCAAATGTTTGTCTTTCAATTTGACTCACCGTACTGTGTGACTGTTTGTGGCGGTCACCATGGCAACGTGACACTCCAGCACTTCACATAGTCTCTTCACTATTTTTCTTATTTTACATCGCTATTCCCAGTTCTTCTGGTCAGAGGACTCGCCAACCACAAATTTGTCTTTGACGTTGTGTCTTTTCCGTAACATTAATTTTGATTTGTTGTTCGGTGTCTTGGATACTGTGTTCTTCGACGTATCGTGTTCTTTGACTGTGTTTACTGTTTTTTTTTTTTTAAGTTCTCTAATGTTATTTGATGCATTGTTCTGCTGTTAGTTCATATTTTGCTGAGGGGGTTTTCTAACGTGATGATGGAGGTTATGCTAGACCTTTGTTTTCTATGATGTACAGCAGTTGTGTTTGATGAGATGTATGTGTCGATGTTTTCTTCTCTGTATCCATTTTGGTTTAGCTCAGTGGACGGGTCCGACTCGTCTGGCTCTTGACCAGATTGTGCTCAACAGGAAAACGAACCCACAACCTCCTCTGTTGTCAATACGGGTTAGATGCACAAAATCCAGTGGAGCAGCAACATCCAAAAATTAGCCCCACCATGAGGTCACTGCTTGTATTGTATGGGAACACGCAGGCAAGCGCACACACCCCATCTTTACAAATTTTGTAGAATTTATTGATAAAACGCATTTAGTACATGACAAGAGTTGACAAGATGAAGAGTTACAACATTGAAAATAGCTATATTATTTTAAAACTGTCTTGGAGTCTGAGAGGCGACAGAGGTGATCAGTCCACCTCTTCAATGGTGGGCCCCTGGGCGGCAGCCCTGGCCTGCGCCCCGCAGCTTCCCGCAGGCCCCGCCCCCTGATACAGCTTGCTGATGATTGGCTGACACACTCGTTCCAGCTCCTTCTGCTTGTGCTGGAACTCGTCCGTGTCAGCCAGCTGGTTGTTCTCCAGCCAGCGGAGGGTCTGGTCACACTTGTCCGTCAGAGTCTTCTGATCCTCCTCGCTCAACTTGGCCGCCAGCTTCTCATCCTGGACGCTGCTCTTCACGTTGAAGGCGTACGACTCCAAAGCGTTCTTGGCAGCAATCTTGTCCCGCTGCAGGTCATCCTCGGCTTTGTACTTTTGGGCGTCGTCCACCATCTTCTCGATCTCCTCTTTGCTCAGACGGCCTTTGTCGTTGGTTATGGTGATTTTGTTCTCCTTGCCGGTGCTTTTGTCCACCGCCGACACGTTCAAGATGCCGTCGGCGTCCAGGTCGAAGGTGACCTCGATCTGCGGCACGCCTCGTGGAGCCGGCGGGATTCCGCTCAGCTCAAACTTTCCCAGGAGGTTGTTGTCCTTGGTCATGGCCCTCTCGCCCTCCAAGACCTGGATGAGGACGCCGGGCTGGTTGTCCGAGTAGGTGCTGAAGATTTGCGTTTGCTTAGTGGGAATGGTGGTGTTGCGTTTGATGAGCGGCGTCATGACCCCTCCGGCGGTCTCGATGCCCAGTGACAGAGGCGCCACGTCGAGCAGCAGCAGGTCCTGGACGTTGCCCGAGGTGTCCCCCGTGAGGATGGCGGCCTGAACGGCCGCGCCGTAAGCCACCGCCTCGTCGGGGGTGATGCTCTTATTCAGCTCTTTGCCGTTGAAAAAGTCCCGCAGGAGCTTCTGGATTCTGGGAATCCGTGTGGAGCCGCCAACTAGAACCACGTCGTGGATCTGGCCCTTGTCCATCTTGGCGTCCCTCAGGGCTTTCTCCACCGGCTCCAGAGTTCCCCTGAACAGGTCGGAGCACAGCTCCTCAAAGCGAGCCCTGGTGATGGCGGTGTAGAAGTCCAGGCCCTCAAAGAGGGAGTCGATCTCCACGTTGGCCTGGGAGCTGGAGGACAGCGTCCTCTTGGCCCTCTCGCAGGCGGTACGCAGCCTCCTCAAGGCCCTCTTGTTCTGGCCGATGTCTTTCTTGTGCTTCCTCTTGAACTCGGCGACAAAGTGCTCCACCATGCGGTTGTCAAAGTCCTCTCCGCCCAGATGTGTATCCCCGGCGGTGGCTTTGACCTCGAAGATGCCGCCCTCGATGGTCAGGACGGACACGTCGAAGGTGCCGCCGCCCAGGTCGAAGATGAGGATGTTGCGTTCTCCCGACTGGCTTTTGTCCAGACCGTAAGCGATGGCCGCCGCCGTGGGCTCATTAATGATCCTGAGGATGTTCAGTCCCGCGATGACACCCGCATCTTTGGTGGCCTGGCGTTGGGAGTCGTTAAAGTAAGCGGGGACCGTTACCACGGCGCTGGACACCCGTTGACCCAGGTAGGCTTCGGCCGTCTCCTTCATTTTGACCAGCACCATGGAGGAGATCTCTTCTGGGTAGAAGGCCTTCTCCTCCCCTTTGTGCTGCACTTGGATTTTCGCCTTCCCTCCGTCGGCGACCACCTTGAAGGGCCAGTGCTTCGTGTCCGCTTGCACCACCGGATCGTCGAACCTCCTTCCGATCAGTCTCTTGGCGTCAAACACCGTGTTGCTCGGGTTCAACGCCACCTGGTTTTTGGCGGCGTCACCGATGAGCCTCTCTGTGTCGGTGAACGCCACATAGCTGGGCGTGGTTCTGTTGCCCTGGTCGTTGGCGATGATCTCCACTTTGCCGTGCTGGAAAACACCCACGCAGGAGTACGTGGTGCCCAGGTCGATGCCGATGGCGACGCCTTTCGCTGACACCATTTTGTTTACCCGACAGTGAAGATGTTTGTCTCTGAGGGGAACGACATTGAAGCAGCACATTAAACATCATGTTAACATATTATAACAACATCGTCTGTATGGGGAAATGACATTACAGCAACACAATTACTAAATATTGATAATATTTCCCTGTATAACAACTCTACACGTTAAAAATCACAAAATGTAAAATATGGCAACACGTTCAACATTTGAACATGTTACACATCTAAACAACAGAGAACACATTCAATATGAGTCAAGTGTGAATTATAGAGAAAAACCCATCAACTTACATTTAAAAGGGCACTGTGAGGTCCGCGGATCTTGTGATGTTTGTTCTTCGTGTAGTTTTTGCTGTGCCCCAGCTGCTTTTATACCCAGCGAGTTTGCATTCTGGACATTTCCAGACTTTTCTGTCAATTACGTCACAAACAAGTGCAAATTCCTGTTGGTGCCTTCAAAACAAAAGAAATAGGAGTGGACTTCGAACGGAGGAATGCACTTATTGTGAAGGCAAGTACGGTCACATTACTAAATATTGACGTCAACTTCTTCCAGAACCCTCTGGAATCGTGAAGGGAAAGCGAGACGAACGCAGACAAATCTGGATAAAGATAATTTGGATGTGGTTGACGTCATTCATTTATCGATATGATTATTGAATGTTTGTTAAAACGCGGTGGCATACATTTCATGTCATATTACATCAACCAACAAAACAGTTACTGCAGTGACTTTATGTGTACTTTGTATCAAGACAATAACCGCTTCAATAAACGTAAGGTTAATAATGACGATATCGATCTAGCGGGAAACATTAATTGGCTGTGCTCGGAATCATTCACGTATTCCCTTCTGCCGAATCAATGGGTCTGCCTTTCTGATGGCCGTTGGTCTCTTGTCAAAGACGTACTCTGTCGTGCAGGTGTTTCCTGTCTGTTAACTTCACATTTTGTCATCCGAATTGGAAGTATGGTGCGACGTTGCTGTGTTACTGGGTGCAGCAGCTCGTCAAATGGGAACGGTAGCTCCAGGAAGGCCCTTCAAAAGTGGTGAATTAAAAAAAAAAAATTAAACGATTCCGATGGAAAGACGCAACCACTAGCAGCAATTCTTTCAGTGTTCTAATCAACCACAAAGTAAGCGTCGGTCGAGCAAGCTAATCAGTCCCGAACAACCACTGCGACACCTAGTGGCCAATAGTTTACCTCCTGCTGGTTGCGTGCCGTAAAGTCATGCTAATCCTCATTTGCTTTCCCCGCGACACTGAACAAAGAGAGGAAAATAGTCTTCATACATCCGGTTAAAATTGGTCAAACGGACACAGACAAGATCAATCTACACGGGGCAATACAGTACACCTCTCCTATTTCAAGGAAATTAGTTTTGCTCACAACATGAGAGATTAATCAAGAATCACAGACTGATAATAAATGAAGCTAATCATATTAGAAATTCGGAAAAAAAAGATTTTAAAATGTTGAAAAGACCTTCCTTATCGGTACGCGAAAAAAAAGCACATTTCTAACCTGAATTTAAAAAAAACATTAAAACTCGGGCATGACTTCACTTCGATTGGCAGTTTTCTGACATTTGCATACAACATAACAGTTAAATGTAACTTCACCGTGTTTTCTTTCAATTCTAATTCTCGTCGATGTCAAAATGCACATTAAATTGTCCTTTGAGGAGAAAACGGTGGGTTTTGTTTAAATTGTCATAAGCACATATTTTTTAAATCAAGTATTAAAAAACATGTTCATGCCATTGTATTTGCTCAGTGATTTGCCTCCATTTTATGACTCAAAAATGCTGAGCCCAATGCCAAAAGCACACATGTATACACGTTTCGAGTCTCATTTGATCATATTCCCACTTTGAAGAGCCAAGTGGCTTTGACACAAGTGTGTTCCTGTGTAGCATGTCGTGTGTGTGTGTGTGTGTGTGTGTGTGTGTGTGTGTGTGTGTGTGTGTGTGTGGGTGTGGGTGTG